ACCCCCACTGTGAGATCTGGATCACCACCAACAGTAGCTGCCACAAAGGTAGGATTGCCATCCTCCTGGATGGGAAGCCTACTGGTCTGCTCTGTGAGGTGCTCTGGGGAACCACCCCCCCCCAAGAGGGTGCCCTGCCCATTTACACCAAGGTGGTATACCACAACCATATCCTGGGGAGTTTTTTCCTGGGCAGGTGGCTCAGGGGTAAGAGGAGTATGGGGATCAGAGAGGTTGGGCCATCATTGTATTAGTTCTTATGAAGGGAGTTAGAGGCACGATGGAGTGGGAGTCTTCCTGCTTCTCTCATTTTCCCTGGCCTACTCTCCAGGCCCTAGCTCTCAGTCAACCCAAGTTAAAAGCCCTTGACCCACCCCAATAGCTTTCACCACATCCTGGGTAGGGGGAAGATGATCTCTCCCTACACCACCACCCCCAAGAGCTTCCCCTGAATCAGAGACAGACATCTCTTCTTCCCATGAGCCCCACTGTATGCTAGTAGGCCTCCCTATTCCACTCCCATCCCACCTTCCCTAACCCATACTGATAATGCACAAGCAGATGCAAAATTCACATTATGTTCAAATTATCCCTTAATATATCAGTTGTGTTGGAACAAATTCATATTTTCCAAACAAGTATTATAACAGAATTGACTGTACACAAATCAATCTCAGAGGAGGTGTGGCGTGGTGGATAGACAGCCAGCTTTGGAGTCAGGGAGACCTCCTTTCTAGTCCCACCTCTGACACATGCTCATTGTGTATCCCTAGGAAAATCACTCACCTTCTCAATGTCCTAGGCAACTCTAACGACTAGGAGATGCTGACCGGTATTAATAGGGGGAGCTTCTTCACCAAGTGTCCCCTAACACCAACCAAATCACAAGTGTTTACAAAAAATAAAAATAAATTCACCTATGTGTGATAATGTATGCAATATACTTTGTAAACCTTAAAATGCTACATAATCATAGATATTATTACTATTGTTAGCATCATAATGCCCAACACCTTCCACAAAAAATATTGTTGTGAGGCTTAATCCTGGATATGACTCTGAGTCCTCAAAGGCTATGACAGTGAATTGCAAGCTCTGACAGATTCTACCAATCTAGGAAGACTTCAAGTACAGTCAAAGCAACAAATTGTGTGAAGACAAACAGATAAATATAGAAAGGTTCTTTGTCAGTGGGTTGGCTATTATGTGATGAATTTTTTGCCCATGACAACCAATGAAACAGAAAGAAGTGTAAAAAGGATGTCAGTTCAGTCTGACACCCTTTCTACTTCTGCAGTGATGGTGACAGGGTAGTGGAAAAGGCAGCAGAGATCACCAAAGATCACATTGTTTTTTAAAAGACCATCTATACGCATGAATTTAATTATTGGTATCCTAACTATAAGAGTTTGTTGTTGTTGCTGTAAGTTTATTTTTTAAATGTAAATAATATTTTATTTTTTTCCAATTACATGTAGAGACAGTTTTCAACATTCATTTTCATAAGATTTTGAGTTCCAAATTTTTCTCCCTCCTCTCTTCCCTCCCCAAGATGGCAAGCAATCTGATATAGGTTGTACAAGTACAATCATGTTCAACATATTTCCACATTAGTCATGTTGTGAAAGAAGAAACAGAACAAGAGGGAAAAAAACAGAGTGAATATAATATGCTTTGATTTGCATTCAGACTCCATCAGTTCTTTCTTTGGATAGCATTTTTCCATCATGAGTCTTTTGAAACTGTCTTAGATCATTGTATTGCTAAGAAGAACTGAGTCTATCATAGTTGACCATTGCACAATCTAACTAGAAGATTTTTGTCCAATGTCCAAAAAATGGGTTGATATAGTATTGGAAAAAGAAACTAGAAAATGCGTGGAAATCGGTAAAGAAAATGAAATAATGGTTCACAGATTCTCCTTAGAGAGACAAATAAAACAATGAAGAGAGCCAGTTTCATTGTGCAATCAAAAGCCACACACACACACACACACACACACACACACACCATAATTTATTGGGACACTTGGTCATCTCACCTTGCAGTACTCATAGGAGCATGAGCAAAAAGGCTGCCATAAAGTTACCGTGTCAATATTTGTTCGAGAGAATTAAGAAGTGGAGAAATTTTACAAAGAACTGAATAATCTCTTCCAAACCAAATCAACATAGATTTTGTTACTTGGTGACCAGTTCATAAGTGATCAAGAAAAAGTTGGAAAAATGTGTGTGGAAAATATGGCCCAAGGTTAAGGAATGAAAGAGGAAAAGGTTTATAGGCTACTCGAAGTTTCATTATATATCATAAATACTTTATTCAAGAAAACATTTGGATAGTGCTAAGCATTGACACCACCCCCCCAAAATGGAATTGACAATATCTTAACAGTCTGAAAATGAGTGATTACAGGGAAGTCATTTATGACTTGGCACTCTTTGTGCTATCAAACTATTGACTAATCAGAAAAAAAGATAAAATCAATCACAAATTAAGAGGAAAAAATAAAATCAACACAAAATTAGGAGAACTAAAAATTAAAAGACCACCCTGCATACAATTACAACAGCCCTAGTCCATCACATTTGAATAAGCCTGTGAACACTTTAAAATGAGGAATGGAAAAGGCAGTTATATTTATATCAATTATCACCACCTCCTACTGTTTTAACCAATATAAAGCAGTCACCACAAGGAGAGCAAAAGGCAACAAATAACTTGATCTGCTAAGTGGAGAGACATGGCAGAAACAATAACTCTGATTGGCACAGTAGAAGTACTGGCTCTGGAATCAGAAAACGTAGGTTTAAATCCTGCCTCCAATGGTAATTACCAGGGTGACCTTGGGCAAGTCATTTCACCTCCCTAAGCCTCAGTTTCTTTATTTGAAAAAGGAGTGTTGAACTAGCACTCTGAGTCACCCCCTTTCAAGCTCTCCACCTCGGACTATATGTGGTTTAGACTATAAATACATTTTGATCACATAGAGGAAAGTATAAGATTATAAGCAACATTGGTTCATAAAAAGAGTAAAAAGCAAGAGAAGAAAAAACAAGTCTGCAGAAAGCTTGGGATAAGATGCAACTATGCTATATCATCTCAAAAACTTTTAGAGATGAAACTGAAAAGGAGTAGATAAATCAATAGACAATGGAACGGATTTGTCAGGTTCACTATGATGATCTTTTTTCATCATCAAAGACAGTGAAAACATCTCACTTCACCATCCAATGTGCTATATGAGAAGGTAGAAATGACACTTAGAAAGATGAAAAGCCACTGGTTCAGACCCATGGAGGAAACCTTGCTACAGGAAACATCATTTCAAATGTTTCCATTTTCAAGGGACCTGAAGGAGGGGGAGACAGGAAACCACTGCAAAAAACTATGTGCTGTTTTAACTGCCAAGAAAAGGTGATAAAGAGGACACCAACGACCAAAGCCCCAAACCTTTCTCATCGCCATATAACCCTTTTTAGAATGAACTATACACATTTTAAGAGTATACTTTATCACACTATGGCAAGGAAAAAAGAAAGCTTTTCCAAATGTTTTTCTGAAGCTGACCACATTTTCAGTCAATAAGCATTTATTATGCACCTACCATTTACCAGGCACTGTGCTAAGTGCTAGGGATACAAAGAAAGGCAAAAGACAGTCCCGGCCCTGGAAGCATTCACAATCTAATCACTTCACTGTGACACAATTGACTAAATGGTGTAGAGAATAAAAAATCCTGCTGAATTTCTGTTTGGTGATTATCCACACATATTTTAAATGACTCTGCATACTAAAATATAGCCTTACAAGATCTCCTCCAACAAAGAATCTTTTATGACTATGTTAATATCCTATACAAAGTCCAAGTAGAAGAGAGGCCTTCTAAGTACAGATAAGTAGTGAGATCCTCTATATATTTCTATTTGCAGATCATATTATGCTGGTTGTATCTAGGCTCAGAATACCACAAGGTCTCTTCACTGAGATCCATGATGACTCAAAAGAAATCACACTAATTACTCATATAGAAAAAAAAATTCCTTTCGTACAGATTATGACACAAAATTGGAATAGCATTCCATTGGGTTAATCCACCAGGGATTATAGACAGACAATAAGTTGGGTTCAGAATTGAACAAGAGAAAGGACATGGACCTGTCCACATTTGCAAAATTGTCCATAGGACATAAATTTAGAACTATAAGCAACCTTAGAGAACATCTAAGTCCAACCTCCTCATTTTACATGAGGAAACTCAGGCCCAGAGAGGCCAAGCAAAAAGCCAAGAGGTCACATTGGTGATGAGTGGCAGAGCTGGGATATGAACTCAGATCCTTGGAGTCCAAATTCAGCATGCTCATACGTTTTATAGCCATCCAATGATTTCAAACTGTTCACTGACACAAAAACCTATCTTTTAAAAGGAATATTTTCTCAGCAGTGCTGTGAATTATAAATCATATTATGTAGCACCACAGTTTCTGAGAAATCAGAACTGGTGATGACCCAAAAGGTAATGGAGAGATTCATGAGGGAAGTGGACTGAAGCATGTTTCTAACAATAACATCCAGGAAAAATTAGCATAAAAGATGCAATCCAGGAAATACAATATGCAATGTGTAGGCTAAGAGGTAGGGATAAGAGACACACTGCTCAGGTGCTTCAGTGATACCCAGAAAATGTCAAAACAAAACAAATAAACAAACAAAAACCAACCTAGAGGAAAGTCTCCAATATTTGGAGTAGATTCTTAAAGAGAATCTGTGGGAGGACACAACCAAGCATTTCACAGGATGAAGAAACACTGCTAGGTTGTGATTTGCGCTGTTGAAGGAAATGTTCACCTTGATGAAATCACAGATCTATCGACAGAATATGTCCTGAGCCCCCCCAAGATAAAGTTCCTCTTCTAATATATACACACACACCATGCCAATTACCACTGTGAAACTTCCTTTCCCCTCCACAGCCTCCTTGTATTCATTTGGACTTTCTTTACCTGGATAAAAATGTTGAGGATGAGGAAGGAGCAGCACTCTGAGGTCTATCCAGGCGGTCACTTCTCTATAATAGACTGGACACTGGCTCAGCCTCTTCTTCTATCTTCTTCCACGCTCCTGGCCCAGCGCCGCCTGTAAATAAGCATGAATGGACGTAATTCAGGGGTCAATAGAATGTTAAATCACCATGGACATTTGGAGGCAATTACTATTTATTGCATTCCATAAATCTGGGACTATAAAATAGAGCATTTTGTGATTTCACAGGTTGAAATAAAGGTATAAATGGAGTCAAAATTTATTATGTGACAAACAGTAAGTACCTAATGCAACAGATATCCTAAATTGCCAACTAGATGTGGGGGAAAGAAATGTATCTCTATGCCTTTTACATTAAGAATCAGTGCATTGAGAATCAATAAGAAAAATCAACCTGAATTTAACCCTAAATTTTCCCTTAAAGGTATTCTAAACTTACTCTTTAATGAGCAAAGGAAGAGACATCATGGGGCAGTGCATAGAGTACTGGGCTTGGAATTAGACACAGATTCAAATCCTACTTCTGACGTATCCTCACTGTGTGTTCACAGGCAAGTCACTGAACCACTCAGCAACTCAATTTAATTCAACTCAATAAACATTTATTAAGCACCTCCTATGTGCCAGGGAGTATGCTAAGTGCCAGATTCCTTAGGATTTATCTTCTAAGCCATGGAGAGGTTATGATCTGCATTAGTGAAGGTAGTTCCCATACTGAGGAAATCACAGATCCTTCATTACATCGAATAGATAGGCAGTCATGCCCATGGCTGGGAGGTGCAGTGGGAAGAACAGTGCTGGATTCGGAATCAGGGAGCTGCATTCAAACTCTGCTTCCACTACTTACTACAGGTGAACCTTGGACAGTTTTTTGTTTTGTTTTGTTTTTTAATCTGGCCACTCTGTCACTCTGTCTGGTCACTCTGTCTCCAGGATATCCTGACTTCCTTCAAGACAGTTCAAATCCCAACTTCTATAAGAAGCCCTTTACTGTACCTCCCCCACCAATGCCAGCGTCTTCCCTCTGACATTATCTCTAATTCACTATGTTCATACCATATATATTTATATATATATATATATATATATATATATGTATGTGTATGTGTGTGTGTTTGTATGCATAATGTCTCCTCCACTAGAATTTGAAATCCTTAAGAGCAAAGACAATCCTTTTGCCTTCCTTGATATCCCCAGAACTTAACGCAGTGCCTGGTACACAGTGAGCACTTAATTAATTGACTGACTACTTCAGCATCTTTATCATTTTAAAATGAGGGGGTTGATATATGATCTCAAAGGTCCCTTCTGGTTCTAACTAGATCTCTGATCCTATGAACCGTGGATGAGATTTCTTACTAGAATCGGCCATATTATTTCACATCATAAAAGGAGTTGGACCCCAGGAAATAATCAAGTGTTCCTTTTCTCTGGTTTCTTTTCCTAATCTTCCAAATATGACTTCATACAAGCCAATTCCCCAATGCATGTCTTTCATTAGGGGTTTTATGCCGTGAGGCTTTATTTCTTCCCACACTGACTACTACAATGTGCATTTTATTATTAGTCATTGAGCTAAATTGTATCACTTTATGAAGCACAATAACATTTATGAACCTTAGCAAAATAATTGCATAAATTTGGATACAGCAATAATCTTCCACCCGCTTAACTAAGGTCACATTTCCTACGTCTTATCAGAGGAAAGAGGAAAAGAAGACATAAGACAAGAAGTGAGTATGGGATCATGAGAAAGTTATTTCACTTCTTTGATCTCTGAGTATCAGTTTCCTCCTTTGTCAAAGGGACAGGATAATATTGCCTGGGTTGCTTTGAGGAAAGTACTTCATAAACCTTAGATTGTAATATGAATGTAAATCCCAATGATGAGGATGAAGATTAAATAAAAAACAGCATTTCTTTCTTTCAATTTCTTTAAAAAGTGGTAAAAATACAGTTTCATTTCAGTATAAATTAAACAACAAAAAAATGCAACATATAATGATTAAGCTTGTCCCCCAAAGAAAAGACGATAAAATTTGAACCCTTCCTTCTTTACAGAGGTAAGGGGTCTAAGGGTCTAAAGGTACAGAAAAATCACATACACCATCAGACTCAGTTGATTTATATGTTTGCATGCTGAACTGCTTCTACCCTGCCCCCGCATCTTTTTATTTTTTATTTGTTGTTATAATGGGTGGTTTTCTAGGTAGGAAAGAGCAGAGGGATATATTCAGAAATAAAGGTGAGATACAAACAAGGGAGAGGGATTGGAATTGTGATTTCATTGATATAGAGGACTCCCAGAAGGAAAAACACCCTCTACCAATGCCGGTATCTATCTCATTACCACCCACTATAGATGGCGGTAGGTTGTCTGTAGGCAACAGCCACCCTGCTGACTTACACAACTACAGTCTTCTACCACTAGCAGGACACAAAGAATTTGCAGAAGGTTTTATACAGAAAGACAGGTAGAACAAAGAGTTTCTCCCTTGGTTCCAACTATAATAGTAACTGCTGTCTGAACTTGGCTGGCAGAATTTACAATCTTGGAGAGTTACCTAAAGCATGGAGAGGTTAAATAAATTGGTTAGCAGAAGTGGAATCGAGGTGAAGTCTCAAGGTCGGCTCTCTATCCACTGCATTTGCTGTCTCTTGGCAAAGAAGATCAATAAAAATTAATTTTAAAAAAAGAAAATATAATGTGACCCAGAAATTCCACTACAGGGCCTCAAAGAGGCAAATGACAGAAATAATCTTAAAGAGGCATATGACAAAAAGATAAGTCCAATATTTACCAAAATATTCATTATTCACCAAAATATTCATTATTCCTAATAACGTTTTTTTGTGTGGGAAGCAAAAAAGTAGAAGCAAAGTGGATATGCAACAACTGGTCATGCATTTAGTCTGTGTTTGAATGCCTCTGGGTGTTAATTTCCTTTACATCACCCTGGTTCTTGTGCATATTGTTCTCCTTTTATTTTTTTTCCTCCTTATCAATTCATACAAGTCATCTTATGCTTCTCTGAATTCTTTATAGTTGTCATTTCTTATTATATGTCTAATATAAAGAACAATAAGATTTCATTGCTTCATATATTACAACTTATTCAGCCATTTGCCAATATAACTTTCAAAGGATATATGATGACACATTCCTCAGCAAAGAGGCAGTAAGGGAGTGCAGTGGATAGAGTGCTGGCCTAAAATCAAGAAGACGAGTTCACATCCATCCTCAGATGATTATTAGCTATGTGACTCTGGGCAAACCACTTAACCTCTGTTTGCCTCAGTTTCCTCAACTATAAAATGAGGATAATAATAGCACCTAACTTGCAGGGTTGTCGTAAGGCTCAAATGAGATAATGTTTGTAAAGTGCTTGGACATTGTAGGTGCTATATAAATGCTTATTCCCTTTCTTCCCTCAGTCCCATTCTGTTCTTTCCTAAGAGGTGGTGGACTCCAGGAGCAGAATGCTTTCTATGCTACCTGAGGCAACTGTTGACTGTGCCATTGGTTCTGCTTAACCGTGGTACTGTTTTACTTCATTATATGGAAAGGAAGGTATGCTGGAAATTGTGAAGTTTTTTTTATTTATAAAAAGACATCAATAAACCTAATGGGAGGAAGTCATACAACAGTACTGATTGGGTACTGTATACATTCATTCATGTTATCCAACTTCAACCAGGTCCTCATTGCAACAAGGTGATCATTTTATTCTTTCCTAATTAATACCATGTTTTGATCCCCACAGAAGCTATTCCAAACTTGCTGTTCTCTCTTCAAGTTTCATATGCCTTCCCCTCACCCCATACTCTCAACTGAGGACCTTGGCTCTCATTTTACTGTTAAATTAAGGCCATTCAGGGGCAGCTAGGTGGCACAGCGGATAGAGCACCGGCCCTGAAGTCAGGAAGACCTGAGTTCAAATCCGGCCTCAGACCCAACACTGGACACGTACTAGTTGTGTGACCTTGGGCAAGTCACTTAACCCCGATTGGCTCAACTAAAATAAATAAATTAATTAATTAATTAATTAAAAAAAAAATAAATTAAGGCCATTCACTGGAAACTCCTTCTTCTCCCCTCTCCTCCTCGCAAAACCTTTTACATCCTTCCCCATTGTCTCTCCTTTTCTTCCAGTTCCTGATAACAACGTAGCCTTTTTCCTCCCCAAGACCAACCTTTGTACATATGCCCTTGATCTCATCCCCCTTTGTCTTCTCCAGCAGATTGACCCCTCAATCATCTCTTCTTTCTCTTTAGCACCAAAATTTCAATGTCTATAGTTCCTGCCCTACTGCCATCAAGCATATCCAAATCTCCCCCATTCTTTAAAAAAAAAAAAAACAGCTTTCACCAGACTCTACCATCCTATAGCTCTCTTCACTTTTTCAGTCAAACTCCTAGAATAAACTATCTACACTCACTGCCTCCACTTCTCCTCCTATAATTCATACTTCCACCATTTTGCAATCTGGCTCATGATTTATCACTAAGCTGAAACTGCTCTCTCCAAAGTTAAGAACGATATCTCAATTGCCTGTTCTGATGATCTTTGCTCAGTCTTCATCTTTCTTCACCGGTCTTCTGCATTGTACACTGTTGACCACCCTCTCCTCCTAGATGCTCTCTCTCCTCTGGGTTTTCATGACACTAGTCTTTCCTGATTTTCTTCCTACATATCTGATCAATCATTCCTTCTAGGTCTGCTTTGCTAGCTCATCATGTAAGTAAGAGGGCATGAGTCCTCTTACTGTGGGTTATGCTCTCCAAGGTTCTGTCCTAAGTCCTCTTCATTTATGCCTCTACTCTTTCTCTTCATAAAACCAAAAGCTCCCCTTGACTCAGTTATTATCTCTATGTAGAATGAGAGAGAGAGACAGAGAGAGAGAGAAAGAGAGAGAGAAAATGTGTGTATACATAAATTTACACATAAACACACATATACATATTTTGTATGCATGTATATATGTGTCTACCTAAACATAAACATATATTGTTCATTCATTCAGTTGTGTCCAATTATTTGTGACCCCAAGGACTATAGCATGCCAGGCCCTTCTATCCTCC